CTGAATTCAAAACCTGAGGAGGGTGATTTGGAGATCTGGTGACACACTATGTGCACCAGCCCTCTGGATTCAGTTCTCCAGTAAACGCGTGGTTTGTTCTGCACAAACCTTTATCACTACAATTAAATCATGTGTGCAGTTAGTTTGTTGGCTTTTCAGTTCTAGAAACTGAATTGTTGAACCCTCGTACGTCAAAGACGACGTGATAGTCCACATGTATGGTTATAAGACTTTTTTTTAAAAAGATGTTTCGCTTTTGAATATGAAGTTATAATAAAAAGCGAACATCTAAATTTATAAACGTTTTCCTACTTCTTTCTTATTTAATAATTCTGTCGGATTTAATCCATATTTGGTTCAATTCGAAGGCATATATATATATATATATATATATATATATATATATATATATATATATATATATATATATATACACACACACACAGGAATCCCTCGATTAATGTGCATTCGATTAGTGCGCTAAAATATTTATATACCAAAATTCGATTTGTGCATGCATAATATTCGATTAGTGCGATAGAATATTCTTAACTTTAATCACAGCAATTGAAAATTGATTTTTTTTTATACTTATCGATTAATTGAAAATTTTCTATAATTTAAAAATGGAAAATGGGTAACTATTTGGTTTGCCGAGTATTACGCTATCGGCTATCTAATGTAATTGCTCAACTGTTAGTGTTAAAAAAATGGATGGTTAAAATTAAAAATAGATCAACATTTAAAAATAGATAACATTTAAAAAGCTGATAATAAAAAATACATATTTGAATATTTGTCTCTATTTTTTTGAATATTTTGGTTTTTTTTCATGTTTATTTTGAAGGTTTTAAAAGGAATTAAATTTTTTTTTTTGTTAAAAAATGGACGATTTAATTAGATACAGAAATTTACATTTATTAAAAAATATTGAAATATAAAAGATGTCTGCATTTACTATAGAAAGATTATAAATAAAATTTTCTGTTTAAAATACTAATGATTATGATATGTTTGGAAAATTTGAAGGGACAATTTCTCAGTATCGCCAATTATATAAAAAGGAGGCACGGTGGAGTAATGGATAGCGGCTCGGATTTAGGTAGAGCCGAGTTCGAATTCCGAGTCAGATCCATTCCATCCATTTACGAAAGGCATGAATCTTCTTCCTTCTCCCCAAGTTCTATAGCGGGAAAAAATCTGCCTTGTCAGTCATGTATTGAAAGATACATGATCGTCTAAACGTGTATCACGCACAACACAAAACTGACTGGTATAAAGAATACAATGCGGCAAACTAAAAGTTTTTCATAAAATATTAGATTATGACATTTTTATTGTTCTTATGATTTATTCTTAATATATGTACCTATATTTTAATTAAAAAGTACGCAAATTAGGAATTAATTGTGAATGAGACCAAATGTGAGGTAAATTACATAATTTCCTGTAAGTTATTGCATTCGATTAATGCGTTTTCGATTAGCACGTATCTTTTAATCTACCTCACTAATCTAGGGATTCCTTTGTGTGTGTGTGTGTGTGTGTGTATTTGTAATAAAAAAAAAAAACCTTTTATGCCGACGCATTTCGTAACGTGGGGAATTTTATCAAAGGAAACTGTAGAAATGTATTTAGAAAACCGTACTTATATTTTTCTTTTATTAAAAATATATTGTCTTTCCAGATACATGACATTTTTAAACACATATATGTTTGCTGGTAATTTACTAAGAAGCCGTAAGTAAGTATTAAACAATGTTTGTAGGGTGGGTTACACACGTGAACGCATCAAGAAAATAAGTTAGTAGCTCAGGAGAGATGCTAGGGTTACGTCACTTCCCGAAACTTTGATACGGTCCCACCACTCTACTACATGGCGATTTCAAAGTTTCCCAACCTGGAGGACACAAAACCTCGAAGGAAATTGGAGAAAAGCAGAACTTTTTTAAATTACCAAAAATGAAAGAATTATCCAATTTAAATAAAAATTTCAGGACATATTCATTAATTATTGAATTATAAATTATTTTATAATGAATATTTTTTTTATTTTAAAAAATCTTTGAAAATGTTATTCTTTTTGGAATAACTACCAATATTTTTACGACTAAATTTTACTCAAAAAAAAAAAAAGTTAAAGTCGTAATTTTTTACATTTCTATAAAGATTAATTGCCGATGCATCTCCGCTGAAAAAAAAAAAAAAAAGAAGTTTTACAAAGATTCCAACACAACACAAACGGGATTGTCTTAAAAATTTGTTTTATAAACAGTATTTCAGTTTTCAGGAAAATTTTTCATATGTTGAAATCTTTAAACATTTCTATTTTTTAAGCGATCATTTTCTCGGATCTATCTTTCTAGAAATGTAAAAAATAGGGACTAGAAATTTTATTTTAATTACCTTTTTTTATTAATAGTAATCCTAAACAGGATTACTATTAATTAATCCTATTAATTAAAAAAATCATAGATCCTCCTTAGTAAATGATCTCAGAATAAAAAAAAATGATTTTACCGAGATATATTCCCTCTCTTAATTGATTTAAAAGACCTGTTACGAAAGAAAATTACAATTTAAAAAAAAATAAGCGCTACTGAAATAAGACCCCCCCCCTCGCCCCCAATCGGTTGAGAAGTTCGGGGTAGCAAGCACCGGTCCTGTCGATTATTATAGTTGATGATTGACAATTATAACATAGGTAGAAAAAAAGTAAAAAATACAAAAAGCAAAAAAAAAAAAAACGCTACTGAATCTAGCCCCTCGTCTAAGGTTCCTGCGTTGTACGCACCTCACCGGCCATGCAGATATACACGATGTATTAGTTCAGTACTTGTGGCATGCCAAAAGCCATACACCATAAAAGACATACTGTCAAAATAATGCATTAATTCTAATTCAATCCGCTTAAAATACGACCAAACAAGAAACTTAAAAGAACTTATCTTGCAAAATACTGATTTATTTTTATTTTAGTTCATAAGAGAAATTAAACTTATTTAAAAAAAAAATGAAAAAAATATCTATTTTATTAACTTAACTAACTTTATTTAAAAAAAAAAAATTAAATTTCGGTATTAAATGACCCAATGGTTAATATGCTGTAAAATAAACAAACCATTCAATAATACTTGCAGCTTCTTAGTAAAAATTAAACCAATTGTTATTTTGTTTTGTTTCTTTTTTTAACTCGATAGCGCATTTCAACAGGAATTCATGCAATTGTAGCGATTGCTATGTTTTTCCACGCCCACATTTTATTCGTCTGCGATTGGCTAATGAATCAATACTACTTTTCTATAGGACAATTTTGCCATCGCAGTCGTTTCTTTGAATCCTTCGTTTGTTAGATTGCTTGCCTGTTTTGTTAGTACGAATGTAGTGATTGGTTAATTTTTAACCAGTCACATATTTTTAATGCAAGATTAACTTTTCCCGCGCTTCCGTGGGAGCCTACCCTTTTTCCTTAAAAGAGGCGACTTTTTCGCAAGTCGTCAGTACGATACAGTATATTTCGCCTGTCCACACAAGTCCAAGATCTTGCTCACAATATTTCAAACGCACACACAGTCACAGAATATGTAATATAAACTTAGATTTCTCTCTGTACTTTTGCCAAGCTCAAGCAACCAGGATTCTGCTGATTTCGAACCATTCTATAACACAACACATTTTTGATCAATTGAATTCTTGTGTTATCTAACAAACAGACCTTGTTCTAATATTGATTCCTGAACATTTTTCTCTCAAAAAGAACTTTCTTCGAACAATCAATTACAAATCAAAATACAGTTAAAGGGGAACAACTTCTTTCCCTTAATCTATACATTGAATACAATTTGCATGTTTTATCCTTGTATGTTATTTCAATATATACTTGTTGATTCACATTTGTAGCTTTTGTTGTTTACTTGAATCCTGTACATTGAAAGTATAATAATATAAATAGTATTGGTCCATCTACCCACAATAAGTAGATCTGCATTTAGTTATACAACTGACAACAGCACAAGAATCTCTCATTAGCAGCAGTTTTTCATTTTATAATGTTTTTGAGATTGTTCTCGTTTTCATACAAAATAACAGATGTTTGATCATAGTGTGCGTACAAAATTCTCTGTACCTTATCATTCGAGCGCTTTCAATTATTATTAGTTATTTTCAAGAAGAAAATATACTATGGTTTTGAAGTTAATAAAGAGGTTAATATTTTCATTTTCCCCATTATATATATATATATATATATATATATATATATATATATATAAATGGATTTACAAAAACAAAATAATTTCCATGCCTGAGGATGACTGTATGTACAGTTAAAAGTACTAGTAGATTAAAAAAAACCTTATACAGCTTGTAGTTATTAAAAACAAGGATCATGACATTCATCGAGTGGTTCGTAGGTTAATGCAACTTTAAAATTTTGTTTCCGAAGAGTTTTCGCCATTTTATGTTATTAACTTTACTAATCTACTTTTTGTATGAATGATTCATTGTAATATATATATATATATATATATATATATATATATATATATATATATATATATATATATATGCTTTTAAAATGTTGAGAATATTATAACTTTTAAATCATCTGCGAGCCGCGTTTTATATAAACATAATGTAATGAGATCCGCCATGTTTGCCGGCTTCCTTCATTTCAGCGTTGAATGGAATTTTTAATGCAGAAAAAAAGAAAAGGAAAAAATGCAAAAGAACAAAAAAAAAAAAAAAAACGATTTGCTTTCTAATTTCACAAAAAAGCACTAGCGACAAATGTCTACTGTTCACTCGACTATAAAATAAATTAAAAATAAACATCTCTACTTGCTCACAATAATGACGTTTTAGCACTAGAGAAACTCAACTAACAAAATACGGACTAGAACTTTCCAACTAGCAATGATCAAAATGAGTGGGGGCGGGTAGTGACGGCGACGGTGGCGACGGATGTGAATAGTGTTGGGTGGGTGGGGGTAGATACTTACATTCGTCAAAATAAGGCTATGTTCCTCTTCAGATTTGCGTTTCCGCAACTCTACCAGAAGCTCCCGAAGTTCCTCCTTGAGTTGCTCAATCTTACGGATCAGGCGCATGTCTTTCTCAGAGATCTTGCGCCCACTACGGGCCTCAAGACGCATTTTCAACTCACAGAGTTCCTGCTGCACAACGGCCATCTTCATCTGAATCTGTAAGCCACATGATAACAACAACAACAACAACAAGTAAAATATTAGCGGCAATTTCACTGAAACTGGTTTTTATTCAGAATTGAAGAAGTGTTCTTTCTTTTATTTTTCAGGCCACCTTTGAATTTCCTTCAAAACAACTTTTCAGTATTTGAGTAGATTTAAGGACGTATGTTTTAAGGGAGAGAAGGCGGCAGATATAATCAAGGTTCACATTTGGATGTGAAGAGAAAAAAGTTTTGACATTGAATCGAAATTAGTTTTAAAAAGTTTTAATAGAAAATAATTGGATGTTGTTTATTCTAATTTTAAATATGGAATTTATTTACTTCTTTCTTTTGACTAGCAAAATATATTGTCTGTTGACAAATAAAAGGTTATCGTCAAAATCTTTGTCATTATTAGGAGAAAAGACCAAGGGATTTTTTAATGTAAAAAATATTTTTTCAAATATAGACCTCTATAAATTTTAGTTTGAAAACCACGTTTTATATTTTGCGTCGAAGTGGTGCCTTAAATTTGTACAGGAAATTTGAGCGTTTTTATTTATTTATTTTATTTATTTATTTTTTTTTTCGGTGAAAAAACACATTTTTGAAAAAGCGGTTTTTGCATTATTATTTCTCTCTATTTTTAATTTCACTTATATCCGGGTTCTTATTTTTTATTTAGCGCAGGGCTTAAAAACACAAATTAAAAATTTGAAAATTGCGTAGTAATCAAGACGAGTAAGAAGAAGATCAGTAAAAAGACTGTTAACTAAGTCATTCCCGCCTTATTACTCGAAAAAATAATCCCCAACAAAAAAAAACAAAAAAACAATTGTAATGAAAATATTCCATTATGGTGTGAAATTTCCTGATTATTTCGAAAATAACAATAAAAGTTTGCGCTCGAATACTGTTTAGGAGTTATCGACAATGTAAGTTCGACCTCTTTCGCATCGCATCTACAGCCCAACTGCCATGATTGGCGTTATTTACATACGTTTAACTCGAGTAATAAGGTGCGGAATCTGACTTAGTTAACAGTCTTTTTACTGATCTTCTTCTTACTCGTCTTGATTACTACGCAATTTTCGCGAAATTTTTAATTTAAAGGGAAATTTGCCTTTTTAAGCCCTGCGCTAAATACAGTGTAACCCGGATATAAGAGACCCGGATATAAGTGAAACCCGGACATAAGAGAGATTTTCTCTGGTCCCAAAGTGTTCCCATACTTAGCTAAACAAAATAGACCAAACCCGGATATAAGAGAAACCCGGATATAAGAGACTTCTTCTCCGGTCCCGACAACTCTCTTATATCCGGGTTACACTGTATGTAATAAAAATTAGCAGAATAGTTTAGAAATTTAGGTATAAATTTACATGCATAATTCGAAAATAACAAAGAATTTTATGATAAAATATGCCGTTTAGGAGTTATTGACAATAAAAATTCGGACTCATTCGCGTTAGGGCACGGCTGCCATTAATGGCGTTGTTTGTGTACATTCGCTGATGATCAGATTTGCGCGGAAGATTACATTGTTAACGGCCTTTTACGGTTCTTGGACAATAAAACACGTTATTCTGCAGTAAATATCTGCAAACAACGCCAGTAATGGCTGCCTCGACGCAGATGAGTTCAAACTTTTATTGTCGATAACTCCAAAACGGTAGATTTTAGCAAAATTTCTTTGTTATTTTAGAATTAAGCATGTAAATTTATACCTAAATATAACTAATCGGTAAATTTTTATTATATATTTAGCGCGCGGCTTAAAAAGCAAATTTACTATTAAGACTTCTTGCTAGAAAAGAAAAATATTGAAGAGGGATCATGTTTAGTTTATTGTGGCAAACCGGTAAATTTGCTTTTTAAGCCCCGCGCTAAATATCTATTAAAAATTCCCCAAATCGTTATATTTCCTTTAAAATTGACATTCTGAACTCGAAAATAACAATTAAATTTAGGTAAAAATTTACTGATTTTGAGTTATCGACAATAAAAGTTCGGACTCAGTCGCGTTTAGCCGTCGGCCATTACTGGCGCACTTAAGTTATGTAGGAAAGCAATGACAAATGTTTTTTTTTAAACCCCTTTTTCTGTGTAGAAAAGCAATGACAACAGTTGTATAGTTTTTATTTTCAATTAAAAATAAAACAATAATTAATGGGCAAACTTTGTAAAGAGCATGAATAATTACAAAATAAAAATACAAAATAAAAAACGCTAGAAAGGAAATAATAATTAATGAGCAAAGTTTGTGCATTAATTATTATTTCGTTTCTAGCATTTTTTAATTTTATTTTGTAGATAATCATGATCTTTACAAAGTTCGCGTAGTAATTTAGACGAGTAAGATCAGTTAAGAGCAGTAAAAAGGCTGTTAATTAAGCTTCCGCGCGCAAAATGTTCCGCGGTGAATGTAGTTAAACAAGGCCAGTAATGGCTGACGGCTGAACGCGACTGAGTCCGAACTTTTATTGTCCATAACTCCAAAACGGTAAATTTTATCAAAATTTAATTGGTATTTTCGAGTTCAGCATGTCAATTTACACAGAAATATAATGATTTGGGAAAACTTTAATAGATATTTAGCGCGGTGATTAAAAAGCAAATTTACCGGTTTGCCACAATAAACTAACCATGATCCCTTTTCAATATTTTTCTTTTCTAGCAAGAAAGCCTAAAGAATGCTAATTTTAAAAAATTATTTTCCCCTAAAAGATTTCCCTATTATTTGAGTGGACCAGTTTAAGAATTCCTTATTTCAAACCCGGAAAGCGTTTAAAATGTGTTTACATTTTATAAAATTTTATTTTGTATTTTTGTGACTTTGTCTATTTTTAAATATATTTTTATTTTTCAAATAAATTTGCGTTTAGTTTCTTTTTTTATTTAAACATGTCATAACACAATGAAAAGTTGTCTTCAAGAAAATTTTATGGCGTCTTTTTTAAAATCGTTAGAAGAATTCGACTCAATTCCGTGTTGAATAAATAAAAGTTTCAGTTTAGTGAAGCTGCCTTCAGTACTTCTCTGTTTTCTTGAACTTTTCCCCCAATTCTTTTGGGGTCATTCGATAAAACACAACAGCCAAGTAGAAGTGCGGGGAGTTATGATTTAAGAGGATTCGCAGACTTCAAAGGTTTGGGGGAAAATCAATAAGGAGGAGGAAGAAAAGGAAGAGGAAGAGATCCTTGTCGATGAAAAATAAATAAAGAAAGATAGGGAAGAAGCAGAAAACAGTCAGTCAGGTGGGAAGGCTACTGAAAGAAAAGTAATTATATTTACTTTTTTTTTTTTAGTTACGGACTGAGAAATAATGGAAATGAAGGGAGACAACTTAAAGCTAAAAAGGGCTTAAAAGGGGTTATAAAAGAAGAAGCGGCAGTTGACATATGTCTGCACAAAAAAGGTTGGATATGATTTGTTGAGGGACGCTCTGAAAAGTAAGAAGGGGATAAAAGTGATTATCCGGCCCGTGAAGGAGATTTGGTTTGTAGGTAGCTAAGGAGAAAGGAAAGAAAATGTTTTGCTTTCAAAGCCAAACATGCAGTAAAAAATCGTTAAAAATAACATAACAAACATGCAACAATGTAATAAAAAGGGGAAAATGAATGAGAGAAAAATAGATTTAAAAAGAAAAGAAAAATATTGCACCACATCTGTGAGTCACACATTTATTGGTGAGCGAACATGACAAATTTAAATCTGAAAATCCTTTTATTAACGTTAGAGATTTAAATGTTTTTAAACATTGTTTGATTAAAGAAAATAGGATCAAATAAAATCAAATTATTAATGATCGTTAAACATATTTAATTCAGGTCTGAATTAATCGAATAATAAAAGTGTAGAAAAAAAATGTCGGTAAAAAAAATTGCTAACAATGTGTCATGGAGAATAAACAATAAAAACAGAGTTAACCAGTTTGAGGAAGTGAAGTGAGGATGCAGGTGTGAAGACCTGAGAAATATAATCGTCCCAATTCAACTGATAAGTCATGCAGATAACTGAGGATAACTTTAGCTTGGGGTAGAAGCAGTCTTCAAAATGTTCAGTATGAAATCCACATAAAATCGTTTGCATAATTTACGAAGGTAAAAAAAGAAAAAAAATCATAACTGAATCAACAAAATTTAAAACAAATAAATAAATTTTATTTCTATCTTTTTATGCAATCAGATAGGATTCAGCAACTTAATCAATGTGACTATTGAGTAAACTTGCCTTCCTCTTTCCCAAATAGTTTGCTCCATGATTTCTCGGTCATGTGACCCTCAGTGTTAAGCCCACTCTATACGGAGAACAGTTTTGGGAGAAATATTGCGAAAAGAAGTTACTTTCTTGATAGGTGGGTTAGACACAACCTTTTGCAATATAACGTGCCGGACTTGTGTGTAAAGACCTCTTTTGTAACATACGCTAGCTTTCCTTTTCAGGGTCGGGGAGAAGGGATGTAACACATAATTATACCTTATTGGTATGTTTTAGAAAAACCTTCATTTACGTTCTTTTGAGTTCGTCATTTTTTAAATTTTGAAGTAAATATTTGTACCGACGTCAGATACGACTGAGGCCGCCGCCCACATATATTTTATGAACCCACCATGACAAAGGAAGAAAGCTGGATTTACACTGAGTCTTGGCAAAATAATAAATTATTTAACAGAAGATTAGAAAAGCAGGCTGTTTATTTTGATATTTCAAGTTACTGCAATCAGATAAAATATCATGAGGTTCATAGGTTGGAAACTGCTACCTTAGAGTCTTTCTCTGACCAGTGCCAGCGGACTCTTCTGGGCAACAGACCTCCTACCCCCACCACCACGCTAGGTGTCGCTGTTGTAGTTTCTGTACTAAGTAGGTTTTTATGGATGGAGAATCCTACACGCAATTGATTTTAAATTGAGAGTTATGCTTCTTCTAAGTGATTGCCAAACTATACTAGAGAAACCAGTATGCTTTGCTATTTTACCCATGACTGGGAGTAATAGGGATTGA